GCCAAGAATTGGTCTGTAAAGATTCAGGAAATTATTAGCAAAAATTGATTCTAATAAGGGAATCTGGGGAACTGAAAGACAAGAGTGAAGGGAGGACTTTTGTTTCACTGCACACCCATTTGTATCACTTGATTATTTTTAACCAAATGCGTGCATAACCTATATAAAAATTAATATTTTTAATTTTAAATAATATTGGCTAAAGGTTCTATTCAAGCTTGATAATCTAAAAAAAGAAAATTGGCCTCTCCCGGTGCTCCAAGGGATGAAAAAGTATTACTTAAGTATCCTAGAAAGTGGATTGCTTCAACATCAAAGAGGTCCTTGTCTGAAGCAGCTGTTTAACATTTACATGATTATAGATGTTACCTGTAGAAGCCTTGTATGGAACATTATGGTCAGTTTCTACTGAAATAAACCGGCTGTAATGCGTTTGTGAGATTTTAAGTAGGAAATAATTTTAGTTGTTAAGATGACATTGATTCTTTTTTGTTTCATTTTCAGTGATGAGGACAAAAGGATAACTCTACTAGACTTTTTAAACCTTTCATATATTGTTGGAACTGAATAACACTTGTAACTGTTTATGATTATTCCAGGTCTTGCAATTTGAGTTAACCTTCTGTCAGGGTTAAGTGATTATTATAGTCCCATGAAAATATTACATTAGGATTATAAACCCATTTTTTGTTCTTATTCATTCTGCACACTCACTTTAGGAGAATCCTGTTCAACTCAGCAATATTTAAAGCTGTATAAACTGTGGTTAAATTTATTGTAACAGCACCAATATCCCTTGACACTATATTTAAAAATCTTGTTTGAGACTGCAAGCATTAAGTCTTGTTCTTTCTTCTTAGATCTCATCTAAGAATGAAAGCTAACTATGCAGGAGTAAGTACGGTACTGAAAAGCTTTTCCTTTAATAGTGAAGTTTTTAAACACAGCCTTGTTAAAATTTAACTGTTTGGCTTTTCCTTACAGGGTTTGAAAAAAATTGTTTTAATGCTATCAACAAAGGTCTTATCAAATTAGTTTTATTATAGTAAGTCCTCAACTAGAATCCGATTTATCTTCATTTTGAAACCAAACTCACTATTTAGGAAAAATACATGCGTTACAAAGCAAGTTCAAATCGAAGCTACTTTCGGTCTTTTTTGGAAAAAGGTAGGAAGATGATAGACTATAAATAAAGTTTATATCTAAAATTTTAAAACAATCTACGCTCTGCTCTTGGGTTACTACCCATTCTGCACATTCTCCTGTCATTTTTCTGTTTATGCTCCTGCAGGATAATTATCAGTATTAAAAAATTTGTGTCACTGAGGCACTTGGGATTCCAAGTATTATGGTCTTTGAACTGGAAAGGAGGATCCTAAGAGGCGATCTAATCCAGTGGTTTCTAAACTTTCCTTAGCAGCAGATCTTTAAAGAAACTCTTGTAAGGAAGTACTTAAACAAAACTCAAAGAACCACGGAAAGAGCAAGGTTGCGCTGATTGGTGGGATGCCTTGCCCTTTATTCACCTCAACCATCAGTGTGGGCCCTGGAGAACTGGTACTTTTCAACATGTCTGTTATAACGCTTATAAAATTACAGGTGCCGGGCTCCGTGGCTCAGCCTGTAATCTCCCGCGCCTTTGGGAGGCTGAGGTGAGTGGATTGCCTGAGCCCGCGGGTTCGAGACCCGCCTGGGCAACTTGGTGAGACCTCATCTCTACAATAAATCAAAATGAACTGGGCATGGTAGCGCGCGCCTGTAATTCCAGCTACGTGGAAGGCTGAGTCTGAAGGATCGCTGGAGCCCAGCAGGTCGAGGCTGCGGTGGCCGGGAGCGGCCACTGCACTCCAGTCTGGGCGACACAGTGAGACTCCAACTCAAAAAAAATAAAAATAAAATAAAATTACAGGTAACTAATCTGAAAGTTCAGTTCTTTTTATGCTAGTTTAAATATGCCTAGGGTATTGGAAATTACAGCACTAGAAGATACCAGGTACTCTTTCAGATAGAACCTGATTGTGTTCAATTATGGCAGATGCTGTGGATGTGGTAGAAGGACTAGTCTATAATTAAAGTAGAGCATACAAGCCAGGCTCGGTGGCTCAGCCTGTAATCCCGCGCCTTTGGGAGGCTGAGGTGAATGGATTGCCTGAGCCCGTGGTTTCGAGACCCGCCTGAGCAACTTGGGGAGACCTCATCTCTACAATAAATCAAAAAATCAACCAGGTGTGGTAGCGCACACCTGTAATTCCGGCTACTTGGAAGGCTGAGGCAGAAGGCTCGCCAGAGCCCAGCAGGTCGAGGCTGCAGTGGCCAGGAACGGCCACTGCATTCCAGTCTGGGCGACAGTGAGACTCCAACTCAAAAATAAATAAATAAAATAAAGTAGAGCATACAGAACCGCCATCTCAGAACAACTTGACTAGCAAGGAGTTTGTCACATTCTGCAGAAAAGAGAAAGCATTTCTGCAGTTAACTATTTTCTTTAAAAAGTGATTGGCAGTGTGATTAGCATATGTAGGCTGGAGTGATCCCAAAGTTCACCATCCATCTTCTTTCTTAACTAATAAAGTAAGATTGACTTTGATTAAATTTTGATGCTTTTTTTGTTCTTTGGAACATAGTTTATCAAAAACAAGTCACTGCTATGTCAGGTTGTCAGTGGACTCTAACTGAACTCCATTCTGCTTTCATTACAGAAAGTAGTCATGAGCAGAGAGACTGGCTAGGTTGTTGTTAGGTTCTAACATCTTGTGTTAGATTCTATAAAAGCCTTGTTTTTACTACTTAGATGCTTAAAACACAAGGCTTAGGAAGAGACACATTTAATTACTAAGAAAGGTAAACTGATCCAGATTGAGGAAAATAAGAATAGTGACAGAGTACCCGAAGAAGGGGGGGGGGAGAAAACCTCAATTATTTTCCCACCCCTTGGTTTGTGCTTAACTAAAAGGAAGCTAGTTCATAGATGTGGCTGCTCTTAACCAAGATGTGACTTGTCAGTTACTGTACTATGTCTTGTGGTCACACAGAAGATGTACTCGAAGTCATGCTCAGTCACTTCATGTATTCATCTCATCCATGTTGATTGCTGTTTTAGGCACTGGAGATGCATCAGTGAATCAGACAGACAAGGTCCTTTCTAGTAAGAAGAGACAGACAATAAACAACCCCCTCCCAAAAAAACCCCATATAAGTAATCATGAAAATAAGGCAAGATGAAGGAGAAAATTATAGAGTTTATTTAGACATTGGGGAAGCCTCACAACACCGGAGATGGGAAGCAACCAGCCATCCAAAGAGATTCTAGGCAGAAGGCGTAGCTAGTCCCTAAGGCAAAAATTAGCTTGATGTGTTAAAGTAATGGGAAGAAGGCCTATGTTTCCATAGAGAGCAATAGGAGGCCAGAGAGGTACTCAGGTTCCAGATCACATGGAGCCTTGGAAGTCAGAGTAGGGAGTATGGATTCATTCTAAATATGATGGAACTCCACTGGAAGATTTTATGAATGACTACTATGTGATCTGATTTATAGTTTGAAAAGATCACTGCTCTGTATACAATAGACTATAGAGGGCTGTGGCCGAAACTGGCAGTTGTCTTCAAATATCCATGTAACTCTTTATCAGTAAGTCTCTGACAGTTACAAATCACTCAGTTGTCCAAAATAAAGACTCTATCTCCCAGGTTCCCTTAGGATTAGGTGTGGCCATATAACGAAGTCTAGCCAGTTTAGATCTAAGTAAAAAATGATGTATGCAACTTAAGGGAAGCGTTTTTGTTGCTTAAACTTTTAATTTTGATCGTAGCTTCTATTGGGGGAAAATAAAAATTAAATAAACTTTTTACTTTCAGACAGTTGTAGATGTTGGGCAAGTGTTTTTAAACATGGGGAAGACGTTTTCAAGTCTTCATTCTCGCTGACTAGAATGCAGGCTTGGTAGGCCATAGTGAAGTTATAATGAATAGCTAGCATTTCAGCATCCACCTTGGACCTTAAGTTGACTTTGCAAATAAAAGTCACACACAGCTGAATAATAAGATAGAAGGAGCTTAGGTCCTTGGTAATGATATAGTCTTCACTGTAGCCCTTGCCTCATCTCCAGTTTGTGTGACAGAAACATATTTCTCTTGTTTTAAACTGTTAGTTTAGGTATTTCCATTACTCATGCCAAACTTAATGCTAACATTATAGAAGTGTGCAAAATCAGTTTAAGCAACAAAACCAGACAGAGATAGAGAGCTATTGAATAGTCACAGAAATGGAACGGCAGGTTTTAGACAGTGTACTTTTTTTTTTTAGAGACAGGTTCTCACTGTGCCACCCAAGTTGGAGTACAGAGGTGTGATCATAGCTCACTGCAGCCTCCAACTACTGGGTTCAGGAGGTCCTTCTGCCTCAGCTTACCAAGTAGCAGGGACACAGACACACACTCAGCTTTGGACAGTATACTTTTGTAGAAGCAAAGAGATCTCTGGCAAGTGCAGATGCTCAGAAACGAGAAGTATTTGTTAGGGGCATTATAAGAACTGGTAGTAGCCAGGCTCGGTGGCTCAGCCTGTAATCCCGCGCCTTTGGGAGGCCGAAGTGAGTGGATTGCCTGAGCCCATGGGTTCGAGACGCCTGAGCAGCGAGATCTCATCTCTACAATAAATCAAAAAACCATCCGGGCATGGTAGCACATGCCTGTAATTCCGGCTACTTGGAAGGCTGAGGCGGAAGGATCACTGGAACCCAGCAGGTCGAGGCTGCGGTGGCTGGGAGCGGCCACTGCACTCCAGTCTGGGCGACAGAGTGTGACTCCAACTCAAAAAAAAAAAGAACTGGTAGTAGAGCATTCACCTCAAGTTTTAACATTTCCAGAACTGACTCAGTTCCTTTTTGCCCACCACTGCCCTGCCCAGTTGGTATTGGTCCAAACTTTTCTCCTGCCACCACCAAGACAGAAAAAAGATGGCCTCCTTATCTTTCTTTCAGTAAACTGTCATTCTCCTATTGAATGGCCCTCAAAGTATTGTCTCGGGTCCAGCAACTTCCACGTCACTAGAGAATTTGTTAAAATGCAGATTTTCAAGCCCAACCCCAGACTCTATTGGATCAGAACCTCTGAAAGTGTGCCCCACATGTGTGATTTTAATAAGCCCTTAAGACATTATGATGCACATTAAAATTAGAGAACCACAGATTTAGTTCCCATCCCTGGAAATAAAATTACTGGGTAGAATTTGTACACTTTTAAGCCTTAATACATATTACCAGATTTACTTCCAAAATATTTTGCAGATTTACCGTCTGATGGAAGTATAGGAATCTGTCAGTTTCCTATTACCTGACCAAACTAGAACCTATTTTTTTTGTTGTTGTTTTGTATAGCTAATTTTTGTTTTGTTTTGTTTTCTTGTTTTGGCACATTTTTCCAATGATCTAATCTGTTTTTTCACAGTTATTTGTAGTTTGTGTTTTTTTTTGCTTCTGTCTTTAGTGAGTGAAAGTGCTCTTCATCTAAAAATAAATTCATAATTTACCTTTTTTTCCAATCTAGTATTTATTTTGTTAGCTTGAAGAGGAATCTATTTTTTTCAAAGAATTGACATATGATTTCAGAACCATTTATTAAATCCATCCCTTCATCATAATAGATGTTTGGTTATATATATATATATATATATATTTCTGAACTTTTTCTTTCATGTCCTTATCTGTACTCTCCTGGGGAATAAGGACCATGTTTATTTGGTTCATTGCCCCCAGGAATTGACTCACTACCTGTTACACAATGAGTTGCTCCATCCGTCTAACAGATCATCTGTTTCTTCCTTTGCTATTGCTACAATTTTTAATTATTGTAGCTTTACAATAAGTTTATTATTTTTATGTATTTTATGTTATTACTAAATTTCCCTTGGCTGATGTAAAAAAGGCTTTAAGATGAGCCTTAGAAACATTTTATAAAGTCCAGACAGAAACCACTAAGATTTTAATTAAAATATTAAGTATATGACATTGGAAAGACTTAGCACCTTTGCAAACATTGTTTTGCTACCCCAAAATAAATTTTATTCAAATTATTTATTTACTTATTTATTCGATTTATCTTAGTTTTACCTTCTTCTCTTAATAGATGTCATAATTTTTCAAATCTCTTGGGGTTTCTAGGTTTCAAATAAGAATATCAATAAATAATAATTTTGTCTTCTTTCCAGTATTTATTGCATTGGCCAGAATTGCCACTATTAAGTAACAGTGAAAAGAATAACTGTGACTTTGATATTTTATAATGGAAATATAAACTGGAAGACCTGGGGAACAAAATTCTCTGCTTAGAGCTAAAACAACAGTGATTCAGGGTGAAAAGAGATGGAATACAGGGAGTGGCTCTGAGGATTTTTGTTTAACATCTTGAATAGCACCTATTTTTATAATTTGAGTGACTTCATTTTAGGTCATGTCTGTAGACATGTTATTACAAGCCCTAAATTAAACTCTAGAACCAGAACTAACAGCATAGATGATAGGCACTACCTTTTCCAAGCATCAAATCACAAGCAGTTCTCTGTATAATCAGATTACATGATTATAGAGTTTAGAATTTTTATTTTGGTGTGGGTTTCTACCTTTGAGAATTGATGTCTCCATATGTCCATTATCTTTTAATTCTGAGTGTGAGGTGTTTCTGGATTTGAGAAATTATTGATGCTTTTGGTAAGAGGAAGAGGAACGATGGCACTTAGATTATGGCTGAAGATAAAAAAGCAACAAAGAACTGCTTCATGTTCTCAGTAATTCCAGTGTTTAGTATTAATGGAATTTGTTTTAATATCTCAGATAAACTATAATGCCAGCAAAGTACAGAGATCTGTTATACAACTCGGGAAACTGTTTATAATGATTCAGAATTTAAAATCGATTAATAGTCACAACTGTATCACCAAAAAATATATCAGTAAGTCTTTCTAACCCTAATTGCTGTGTAGATTTGCCATATTCTTTATATGTCATATTTTTATTCAGCTATACAGCTCATCTGGTTGATTAAGTTAAGAATAGCTAGTAATTATTTGGGGGAAAAAATCATGAGCACCCCTCTAAATAAAGTTGAAAAGAATATAATAGGTTATTTAGTATTGCAACTTTATTTTCAATATGATTGTTCTACCTTACATGTGTATTCGGTGCAAATTTCATAAAGCAGCTATTTTATATAGCCAATTTTCTTTTTTAAGTTGGAATCTCACTCTTACCCAAACTGGAGTGACATGATCACAGCACATTGTAGCCTCAAATTCCTGGGTTCAGGCAATCCTTCTGCCTCACCCTCCCAAGTAACTGGGACTATAGGGCCATGCCACCACACCGGACTAATTGTTTGGATTTTTTTTGTAGAGACAAGGACTTGCTATGTTGCCCAGGCTGGTCTTGAGTTCTTGGGCTCAAGCAATCCACCTGCCTTGGTTTCCCAGTACAGCAATTACAAGTGTAAGCCACTGCACCCATTTTTTAAAATTTGTAATTCTATGTCATAATTTTTCTGGCACAATTTATCTTTTTTTTCACAGTTGTACTGTTTCTTTTTTTCAGTTTGTTTTCTTGTTCTGTCTGCTGCCTTCATATGGTTACCTTACTTATAAACTGAATTATTAATATGAAAACTGGTGAATAGTTATACCTGTGATTCAGGAGGAAAGTATGCAGAACACAAAGTTTTGACCAGTTGTGTATCATCTGAATGATATGCTTTGTAAATTGATACAATGAATGTGTTATTTGCTAAATTATCAAATATCTAATATTATTCTGGGTTTTATTTTTTATCATAAATCTTCTGCTTAAAAAAAAATTTCAAGACTCCATATCCATTGTAAATATGTGAAGAGTTTGAAGGAAAGATTGTTCCTACATAACATGAATCTTCAATACTACCAACAACCAAAGAAAGGGAAAAGGGAAATTAAAGTTATTGTGAGAAGACAGAGGAAACTGAGGTCAGCAAGGATGCAAGAAACCAAAGATGAAGAGGTCAAATAATTCGATTTTAAGATGTAAAGTGAATGGCAAGGGTTATATCTTATTTTTGTACATTGGTGACTGGGTAGTAGATACTCAGTATGTGCTGTTGGGTGGACAGGGGTATGACTACTAGTCACTTTCACTGGCAAACTCAATACCTCCATCTCCCTCGGCCCTGACATTCTATAAGTTACTGGTTGTACTTGACAAATGAATCATGTCTTTTATCCCCGCTCTTTTCCATTTCCACTGCCTCTGCTCTGCTTCAAGACATTATCATCTTTGTATCTTAATGATCTCTCTTTTCATTAAAAGCTAAGGCTCCATACAACCATTAGGATTATTGGTCTGAAACACAGATGTAACCATGTCACTCTTGTTTAAAATCCTGCAGACACTCCTCATTGTAGTTCAAACTTTTTATCCTGGTATTCAAGACTTTTATTTTTAGAATCAGTCTTACTTTGTCACCCAGGCTGGAGTGCAGTGGCACAATCATGGCTCACCACACCCTCAACCTTCTGGGCTCAGGTGATCCTTCTGCCTCAGCCTCCAACTTCCTGAGTAGCTAGGACTACAGGCATGTGCCACCCTGCCCGGGCTAAATTTTTTTTTTTTTTTTTTTTTTTTGTGGAGACAAGGTCTTCCTCTGTTGCCTAGGCTACTCTTGAACGCCTAGGCTCAAGCAGTTCTCTTGCTTCAGCCTCCCACAGTGCTGGGATTACAAACATGAGCCACTGCATCCAGCAAGACTTTTTACAATCATCCTGTTTTTTTCTGCTTAAAAAAAAATTACTTTAGATTTAGGGGGTACGACATGAGTATTCATTACATAGACATATTGTGTAGAGGTGGGGATTGGGTCTCAGGTGGCCCATTTCCCAGATAGCGAACATTGTGCCCCGCAGGTAATTTCTGAATCCAGACTCCCTTTCCCTCCCCCTTTATTGGTGTCCCCAGTATCTATTATTTCCATTTGTGACCATTTAACTCCCATATATGAGTGAGAACATGTAGTATTTGGTTTTCTGTTTCTGAGTCAGTTTACTTAGGGCAATGATCTCCAGCTCCATCCATGATGCTTCGAAGGGCCTGATTTCTCTCTCTTTTATGGCTGCTCATCCTGCTTTTGTCTGACCTGCTATACCACTATTTCCCTCCACATGCTAATCATGCTGTGTTACTCAGAGCTCCCTAAAACCTGCTATAGATTTGTGTTCACGCCTCCATCCTTTTGTTTTAAGCTCTTTCTCCTTCTCCTGGGCTCTGTGGCCCAGAATATGTCTTTTTTTGTTTTGTTTTGTTTTTTCTGAAGCCTTTCTCATATTCCCCTTTATCTCTGGCAGAATCGTGGTTCCTTTCTCTGTGCCTCCATTATGCTTTCTGCATGTCTCTGTTAAACTCCTTTTTACCTTGCATTGTAGATGTCTTTGACAATAGATTGGCTCCCTGCAGATGCCAGTTTGTCCTTTATCCCTTCTTTAGTGGAATGCCTGACACATAAAAAGTGCTATATGCACATCATCTCATTTAATCTTCATTACAACAAGGTTGATGCAATTTGTACAGCATCGCCATTTTACAAATAAGTAACTGAGCTGAAAAGGCCTCACATCTGATTCACAAAACAAACATGAACCCCAACCTAGATTCATCTAATTTCTAAAGTGCATATTCACTGAATGAATAACTCCAGGTAACACAGCAATTTGGAGCAGGCTGGTAGTATGGTTTCCATTGAAAGAGAGAATGCATCATTCATAAAAATGTTCTTAAAATCTTCAAAACACATACATAAAACAATTCGGTATGCTGTTGATTGGGTCTCAGAAATGTTCTACTTGGACAAAATTGCTTCGGTGTCTAAATATGGTTAGCTTTTGTAACACAGAACACAGCCTAGTGCTGCAGAACTAGAAAACAGTTTGAGTTGATTTCTAGGGGACTGCTGCCCCTTACTTCTATCTTTATTATGAATGTTCTCCCATGTCAGATAATCTAATTGAACTTTCTCTGGCATAACACGTTGCAGAACTCTGAAATGAAGCATAATAAATACAGGAATAGTTAGAACTGGAAAAGTCTTAGTGTTTTTTAAAAACCTATTAAGTTTTAAAATATTTTGAATGCCATATATCATTAGTGCTTATGTAAATAAGCACAACGACTTGTCTTTTCTTGGTTTGTCTTAAGGATCAAATAGTAAAGCAGAACATAACGGTAACACTTAAAGATCTTCAGAGTTCATGTTAATTAGTGAAATAGTGATTTTTTAGTTCTTTTTTGTCATCTTATTTTTCTTATTACGTTAATACTATGTAGTATAGACTCATTTTCATAGCTTATCTTTTCTGTTATTTCTCTAGTGTTGTTAATAACAATACTGGTAGTGGAAGGGATCGCTGTGGCCCAAAAGACTCAAGGTAAAGTACTTCTGGTGATTGCTTATTGCATGGTCAGGACAGTGGCTGGCAAATTTAAAAGGATTGTGACTTCTGAGTACTATTTTCATGTGGGGTGTTTCCATGACCTAAGACTTTCTGTCAACATATCAGCTTCAATTTAATTGGGTTCAGCTGCAGTTAACTAAAGTAAACTGTCAACATAAAGTCTTGCCCTGATAAATTTTAAAAATTGGCTTCACTGGTAGCTGCTAGCATGCTGTGGATTATGTCCAAAAATTAAATGCAACTTATACTTTATCACTAAGCAAAAATAAAGTTCCCCTTTTCCACTATAAACAAGTAAAACATTTCTATCAATTTCTACTCAAAGCCTTTTGGTACTATTTTGGTTGTCCTGATTTGTGAAAGATTAGCTAGTGTGATTTTTTTTCAGCCACATTTTCATGTCAGTTTAGTACATTTCCAGACTAACATTATTTATTTTTATCAAAGTTATACATACACATGATAAAAAAAGAAGTATTCTAAAAAACTGATTAGGAAAAATCAGTCCCCCATCTTTTCCTGCTTCATGGAAATAATCATTCTTTCAGCAGATTATCTTGGCATTTCCTTTCATACACGTCTAGATAACATGTATACTGCTACTCTGGTTATTTTAGTTTTAGACATTAACTATTGATTTCTCACCATGGAAGATGAGAACTTAGCTCTTTCATGCTCCCACTGTCCACCCCCATCTACATATGAGTGTTTTGTAACTTTCCATTTGTACCGCTCTCCTAAGTATAGTTATATCACAATTCTGGTTAAATCACTATTCGAGATTTACATGAAGTCACTCATTGAACTATTTCAATGTTAATTTTGTATTTGGATTTAGAACATTTTTCTTTTTCTTTTTTTTTTTTTGTTTTTTTGTTTGTTTGTTTGTTTAATTTTCAAAATTTTCATTCCTCTGTTTTCTCTGTTCTGTCTTTTCAGGAATTCCAGTTGTTTGGTATGGCCCTCTTGTTTTTGCTTTTATCCTTTCTATTTTCCATCTCTCTTTTTGCTCCATGTTCTCAGAGACTTCCTCCATTTTATCTTCTAATCCAGAAATTAGAAAACTTTTTTCTGTAAAGGGTTAAGTAGTAAGTATTTAAGGCTATTACACCGTAAAGTCTCTAGGGCAACCATTCAGCTCTTCTATTATGTTGTGCATATATTCCAGTAAAATTATATTTACAGCAGGCAGCAGGTCACATGTGGCCCAGGACCATGTTGCTGACCCACTAATTTTTAAATTTCATCTAATTTTTGGAAGCTTTTAAAAAATTTTTTCTGCGTATTCTTTTTTTTAGAATATCTTTGTTCTTATTTTATGGATTTACTTGTTTTTCTCTCTCTGAGATATTAAAGGATAGTTTGTTTTTTGTTGTAATTTTTAAAAATATTTTTCTTAGCCTGGCTCGGTGGCTCAGCCTGTAATCCCACGCCTTGGGAGGCTGAGGTGAGTGGATTGCCTGAGCCTGCAGGTTCAAGACCCGCCTGGGCAACTTGGTGAGACCTCATCTCTACAATAAATCAAAAAGTTAGCCGGGCATGGTAGCGCGCGCCTGTAGTTCCAGCTGCTTGGAAGGCTGAGGTGGAAGGATCGCCAGAGTCTAGCAGGTCAAGGCTGCGGTGGCCGGGAGCGGCCACTGCACTCCAGTCTGGGTGACAGAGTGAGACTCCAACTCAAAAATATATATATTTTTTTCTTACATGATCATTATTTTCTCAGAGTTGCTTTTCTCTTGATCTGTTTTTTATATTAGATATTTTCCTCAAATGTCTTGCGATCCTTGAATGTCTGTTTATATTGTAAGAGGGGCACTAAGAACTAACCATTGGCCAGGCATGGTGGCTCAAGTCTTTGGGAGGCCAAGGTGAGAGGATTGCCTGAGCCCAGGGGTTCAAGAGCAGCCCGGGCAACTTGGTGAGACCTCATCTCTACAATAAATCCCAAAAAATCCACCAGGCTTGGTGGTGCACGTCTGTAGTTCTAGCTACTTGGAAGACTGAAGCGGAAGGATCACCTGAGCCCAGCAGGTCAAGGCTGCAGTTGCCATGAGCATGCCACTGCACTGCAGCCTGGGTGACAGACTCCACCCAAAAAAAATTAAAATAAAATAAAAAGCTGACCGTCAACTATATGCATATGTAGGTAAGGACACTGTTTACTGTGGCCCTCACTGTTGACTGACCTGACACTGAAGGACCCCTGAGTCAGCATTGTTGAGCCTTTCTTAGGGCTGTTCAGATTTCCCAGAGAAGACTCTCCATTTCCTCCTTAAAGGCTCTGCATCTGACCAGGAGGCCTATGGAGAGTTCAGTGGGAGACAAGACTGGGAGTATCATCTAGTATGTTAACATTTACTAATCTTCCTGTTTTCAGGTTGGCATTTTCATCCTTAGCTGGGCATGGTGTCCCGAGTCCAGTAGCCCTGTTGTTTTACCCTCTCCAAAGAAATAATCTCCGGTTTTCTGATATAGTGATATAACAGCAGCTAACCTAGATTTGTCAAGAGTATTGCAAATCAGATTGATTCTACACAGACTTTTAACTAGCCTCATGTTTTTCGCATGCCACCCCTCACCCCACTTCAAAGTACTGCCAGTTGCTAATACTGTATCTACCCCCTTGTACTTTTGGATTTATGCCCTTAAATTTTTTTTATTGTTGCTTAAGTGGAATTTTGAGGAGGTTGCAGAGCTAAATGCATGTGTTGAGTCTACAATCTTTTATTGAAATCCCTCTGTAATCTTTGAATCTTACTTGACTGTTGTGTTAAACTAAACATAGTATGCCATATCAGAGATTAACTCCTGGGTTCCTTTTATTGGCAGAACTGAATTTTATTGAATTTTACCATTGGCTACATTCTCCCACATGAGAACTACATATAAGCAGTTTGTTTCCCTGTCCTCTTACACAGCAGGCTTGTCCTTTAGCAGCAAGGTTTTCCAGCAAGCCCAGCATGCTAGCTTACCTCTTTTTCACTTCAGCTGTATCCAATTTGTTGTGCTAAATTTGGCGGTGGTTCTTACGACATTTTATATATGTAGCACAGAGTGGGCAATTGTTTGAAAAGTTGTGGGGGGGAGAAGAATGATATTCTCTTTTGCTGGAGTTAGTGTTTTAAATGCTGTTTTTTCCCTAAGATGGGCAAAATATTGGAATCAAGCACATTCCTGCCACCCAGTGTGGCATTTGGGTCCGAACCAGCAATGGAGGCCATTTTGCTTCACCAAATTATCCTGATTCATATCCACCAAACAAGGAGTGTATCTACATTTTGGAAGGTATTTGACCAATTTCTCTCTGTTATTGTATGATTTTTACTTTATTGTAAAATTAAATGCATTGATAAAACATTCTGTTTAAACCAATTTGAACAAAATTTAAACATGCATTTGAATTAAACTGAAGTAATGATAAATATTACTGAATGTTGAATACATTGACAAAATAATAGTTGAAATTTTATAAGAATTTTAAATCTCTTAAGTTATAATTCAACTATGTGCATCAGTATATATGAAGAACTTCTCTGTTAAGAAACTTCTGGCTTTATGCAAATTTTTGGCCAAATTAGTGAGCTCCTTTAGTTTCTCCTCTTTACTTTCTTATGCATTATGATACCTTGTATCTCATGAATTAAATAGGCTTTAGTTTTTGACTTTCCAATTGTAAGCAAGCATATTTACCTCATTTAATAAATAGCATATGCCAAAGGGAAAGATTACCAATGTCCTATAGAGTAAAATTATTATTAACATAAAATGTAGCATTTATAACATCTTTTATATATAACAATTCTCATTATGATCCTCATTTATGAAGCAGTAACAGAGTGATTGTTTTGCTTTTCTTATTTGTGTCAGTGCATTTATATTCTTTCTTGTTTGTGTTGCCCTGATTTGCTTACTCTTATTTTCCAGCTGCTCCACGTCAAAGAATAGAGTTGACCTTTGATGAACATTATTACATAGAACCATCATTTGAATGTCGGTTTGATCACTTGGAAGTTCGAGATGGGCCATTTGGTTTCTCTCCTCTTATAGATCGTTACTGTGGTGTGAAAAGCCCTCCATTAATTAGATCAACAGGGAGATTCATGTGGATTAAGTTTAGTTCTGATGAAGAGCTTGAAGGACTGGGATTTCGAGCAAAATACTCATTTATTCCAGGTAAGGAATAAGTTATCTTTTAATTGGTTGGATATCTTACTCTGATTTTAGAATCTTAAAGTTAGAAAGAGATTAATCTGGCCAAGTTTAACAAATTAAAACTTTAAAGAAATTAGGAAGACCAAAGGGAAATTAGTCTGTGAACAAATTAAAAACTTAATAAAAGTTGGAAATAGAATCATAACACTTGAGTTATGGTGTCACATTTTTTTCTTAGATTTCTTTCTGTTTTGTAGCATATACTGAAGGCCAACATCAAAATAAATATATTTTTTAAAGATAATTCAACAAATTGTCTTGTTTTCAGAATTCCCCCAAAAGTTATTTTGTCAAGTTTTTCTCATTGAATTGATTAAATTAACCACTCAATTGAATAAATGCTCTAGAAAATATCAAGCAATGAAAAGAGTACTGCCCTGTACTTGGATATAAAAGATCTGGGTTTGAATTCTTTCTCTGCCACCTAATAGCTGTAAGACCATTAAGCACAGAGTGATACTTAAAGTTTGCCACTAGTAAAATGCAAATGCCTGCTGTATTAGTATCTTCACACTGCCATAACTAATTACCAGAAATGTGGCCACTTAAAACAACAGAAATTTATTTTCTCACAGTTCTGGAGGCCAAAAGTCCAAAATCATTCAGAGCCTCACTCCCTTGAGGAACTCTAGGAGAAAATCGGTTATTTGCCTCTTCTAGCTTCTAGCAGCTGCCTTAGTATTTGCCTCTATCTTCACATTTCTTTCTAATCTTTCCAAGATCCTTAATTTAATGACATTGCTTGCCTTATAATGTAATTTTTTTTTTTTTAACCGTACAAGGTAATATTCACAGGTTATGGGGATTTTGACATGGATATATTTGGTGGGGGCTACTGTTTAGCCCACTACACTGTCAGCTTACCACACTGTCTTAACCTTCTCCCTCAGTTGGTAAGAACATGATGAGAACATGTAGAGAACTATAACACCCTAGCCAATCTAAAAGTGTACACATCCCTGATATAGAAATACCAAAGTTGTGCTTGTTCCTGTCTACAAAGAGCTTAAAATTAATAAAATGAAAGAGTAATACAATGCTTTTATTTATTTTTTCATGTAAGAAATTTGTTAACTGGAAGAAATTAAAACATATTTAAATGAAAATAAAATACCCATAATCCTACCACTCTATATAAAATCATTGTTAAAATTGTATTCTTTCAGATTTTTTTCACTAAGACTTTCTTATTTTGCTGTCTTTCAGATGTTTTTGTATTTCTATTTATTTTGTTTATTTTACAAACTAAGATTATGCTATAAAATATATACCTTTATTATCAGTTTTCTGCCTGGAAAATATAAATAATCTTTTTTTCTCTTATCACTAAACATCTGTAAATTTTTAAGTTTTGTTTCCATATTTATCTGCCCAATGTCAAAAGGATAACATTTTCAAAAAGTAAAAGTTGTCTAGTAGACTATTTTTTTAGAACAGTTTTTGGTTTGCAGCAAAATTTAATAGGAGGTAGAATTACCATATACTTCCTGCCTTCCCTACCATCAACATCTTGCACCAGAGTGATACATTTGCTACAACTGAATAACCAACACTGACACATCATTATCACCCAAAGTCCATAGTTTACACTAAGGTTCACTCTTTGTATTGTATATTCCTTGGGTTTTGACAAATGTGTAAGGACATGTATTCACCAAGATAGTATCATACAGAACAGTTTCACTACATAGACTATTTCCTGTGCTCCACCTATTCATCCCTTCCTCTTCCCAAACCTCTGGCAACCACTGATCTTCACTGTTTTCATAGTTTGGCTTTTTCTGGAATGTCAAGTAATGAATCATACAGTATGTAGTCTTTTCAGATTGGCTTCTTGCACTTATCAGTATGCATATGCTGTTCCTCTGTGTCTTTTTGTGACTTGATAGCTCATTTCTTTTTAGCACTGAGTAGTATTTCATTGTCTGGGTATACCACAGTTTATTCATCCATTCTTTTGAAGGACATCTTGATTGCTTCCAACTTTTAGCAATTATAAATAAAACTGCTGATAATATTCATGTGTAGGTTTTGTATGGACATGAGTTAACTCATTTGAGTAAATTCTGACACATGGTACAACTTGGATGAGCCTTAAAACATTATGCTGATTAAAACAAGACCCATACCTATCACCATATACAAAAATCAACTATAAATGGACCAAAGACCTAAACATAAAACCTCAAACTATAAAAACTTCAGACAATGCAGGAGATACCCTCATAGGAATTGGAACTGGTAACCAGTTCCTGATCAAAACCCCAAATGCCCGTGCCACGAGAGAAAGATAGACAAGTGGGACCTTATCAAACTGACAAGATTCTGAAAAACCAAAGAAACCATCAAGAGAGTGGGGAGACAGCTCACAGACTGAGAAAAAATATTTGCCAACTGTATATCTGACAAAGGCCTAACATCTAGGATGTACAAGGAACTCAAACATTGAAAATAAAAAAGCAAACAGTCCTATTAAAAAGTGGGCAAAAGACATGAGTAGACATGTTTCAAAGAAGATATATAGCAGCCAACAGATACATGAAAAATTGCTTAGCCTCACTAATCATCAAAGAAAAGCAAATTAAAACCACACTGAGATACTAACTCCAGTCAGGATGGCCATCATCAATAACTCAATCTACAGATGCTTTAGAGGTTGCGGGGAAAAGGGAACACTTGTACACTGTTGGTGGGAGTGTAAGCTAATACAATCTCTGTGGAAAACAGTGTGGCGATTCCTAAAAGATCTAAAAATTGACCTTTCATATGACCCAGCAATCCCCCTTATGGGAATATACCTGGAGGAAATCAGATCACTCCATGAAAAAGATACCTGCACATGCATGTTTATTGCAGCATTATTCACAATAGCAAAAATATGGAACCAACTGTGCTGCCCATCAAAAGTGGACTGGATAAAAAAAAAAATGTACATATACACATTGGAGTATTATGCAGCCATAAAGAAGGACAAAATTATGAATTTCACAGCAACTTGGATGGACTTAGAGTCTTTAATACTGAGTGATCTGTCACAGAAAAAAGAACTGAGTACCACAGGTTCTCACTCATAAGCAGACCTTGAACAATTATCATAATACTATAAGAAAGGGATTGGCAGTAGTGACAAACTGCTGAGGGAGAGGGCACACCTCATCAGCAAGGGTACTTGCATAATGAACATTTGTATACCCAACCCTGAATTATACCCCACATCTTTAAATAAATCATTTTTTTAAAAAAAGAAAGTGGACTGGAAAAAAAATGTGGTGTATATATACACAATGAAATATTATCCTGCCATAAAGAAGGACAAAATTATGAACTTTGTAGCAACTTGGATGGATTTAGAGTCTGTCATACTCAGTGATTTATCACAAAAACAAAAGAACTGAGTACCACATGTTCTCACTCATAAGCAGACCCTGAACGATTATCAAATTACTACAAGAAAGGGACTGACAGTAGTGGAAAACTGCCAGGGGTGGGGTACACCTCATCAATAAGGGTACCTGGTCTCAAACCAGATGAAGAGGGTACCAAAGTAAGGCCTAAACTTTACCTGTACAATGACCATTTGTATACCTAACCCTAAATTGTATCCCTCATCTTTAAAATAAAAAAATTTTAAAGATATATTATGCTAAGTGAAATAAGCTAGACACAAAAGGACAAATATTGTATGATTCAACTTGTATAAGGTATTTGGAGCCATCAAATTCATAGAAACAGAAAGTAGAATGGTGGTTATCAAGGGCTATTTAATAGGTATAGAGTTTCAGCTTGGGATGATAAAAATTCTGAAAATCGAGAGTGTAATAGTTGTACAACATTGTAAATATGCTTGATACTAAATTGTACACTTAAAAATGGTTAACGTGGTCAGTGATTAAGTATAGTTTACCACAATTAAAAAGTAGTAGCTAGGGAGCTGTTTTTTGAAAATGGCAGGGAAAAGAAAGATGACTAGCTGTGATACACAGGATTCTGCCTTACAACATAGTTCACGGAAGTTTGAGAACAAGTAGTTTATATCAAAAAAACTGATCTGATTAGATTGGCTAGGTATTTTATTTTTATTACCTAAATCAACTAGCTGAAGTAATTGATACTTTAAAGTCATAAAGACACCATTACAGAATCTAACATGAATCTGATCTTTGCACATAAGTTTGGACTACTTGAATGAAAAAAGATGTGAAAACAATGCTCTCATTTGAATAATGTTTTTAAATATTAAAAACAGAGGCAGCCAACTTTATATGTAAAGATGCTTACTTTGGAGACTAGTTGTTTTTTTTTTTTCCTCTACTAGTTTCATGTATCATGAGTGCAACTTAATATGGCTTATGTATATAACTTTATATGGCTTAAATATAGACAAAGTATAATAAAATGCTTACAAGCTGAGCATGGTGGCTCACACTTATAATCCTAGCGCTTTGGGAGGCCAGGAATTTGAGACCAGCCTGCACAACATAGCAAGACCTCATCTCTACAAAAAAATTAAAAAGTACAGCACCTATCATCCTAATTATTCAAGAGGCTGAAGCCAGGAGGCACTTGAGCCTAGGTGAGAGTGCAGTGAGCTATGATGGTGGCACTGCACCCAGCCTGGGTGACAGAGCAAGATTCTGTCTCTTATTTTTAAAAGTGCTTAGGAATTTTAGACTTTATTGCCTTGTGTTTGCATTTTATAGTGCTTCACAGTTTCTATATAAATTATGTTTAATTTTATGCTAATGACTAATGTCAGGAGGATTATGTAATGTCATTTTATAGATGAGGAAACTGAGTCAGAGATTAAGTGATTTTCTTAAATCATATAATGACAAATCCAGGACTTGATTGCAGTTATCCAGGCAACACTTCCTACTCTGTCATGGTTGCCTTTATAATGTAGATAAGGTCACACTGGAGAAAAGCTTTTTGTAAAAAAATAATGTGAATGAGGATTCCATAATTTTACCACTAAAAGAAAGAAAACTAATACATGTCAAAATAAATAGACAATGCATAATTACCTAAGTATGGCTGTATCTCCTGCTACTTAAATTCATGTTTATAAAATACATTTTGTTGGGGTTGGTAAATCTGGAAGAAACCTATTAACAATGGTTGGGAAATTTGTATTTTTTTAAATGATATTTTGTAAGCTATTGATATTTATGGAAGCAGAGGTTCTTTTTATCATTTTATTTTTCTTAATTTATTTTTATTTTATTTTAGATTCAGGAGGTACATGTACAGGTTTGTTACACTGGTGGTATATTGCGTGATGGTGAGGTTTGGGCTTCTGTTGAACCTGTCACCCAAATAGTGAAAATGCTACCCCCATAGATAGTTTTTTTACCTTTGCCCCCCCTCTCTCCTTCCCTCCCCCTTTCAGGAGTCCCCAGTGTCTCTTGTTCCCATCTTTATGTTTTTATGTACCCCGTGTTTTATCTCCCACTTATGAGCGAGAACATGCAGTATTCAGTTTCTGTTTCTGCATTAATTTGCTTAAGATAATGGCCTCCAACTGTATCTGTGTTGCTATAAAGGACATGATTTTGTTCTTTCTTATGGCTGTGTAGTAGTTCGTGATGTATGTATGCTACATTTTCTTTATCCAATCCACTGTTGATAAGCACCTAGGTTGGGTCCATGTTTTCATTATTGTGAAACAGGGAAGCAAAGGCTCTTAATGGATTGTTACTTTCTGGAAGTAACTGGGATAATTTTGGAAATGTTAATGCACTTATGAAATATCCAGAATTCTTGACTACATATGAAAAATGCTGATTAATTTCCCATATGGTTCCCATGACTTCCCCATGATGCTATTTAAGATTTAAGTTTCTCTTCAGCATTTCTCTTCAGAGTAGCTGAAGTGTCCATTGATTGTCCCCTTTTAAGTAAGGATAGATTTGGTTGATTAAGTTCACCCTTTGCACTCAGAGACATCTTGCAGATCACCTACCAGCAACTCAACCTCACTTTTTTACAAAAGAGTGAAAAACAAAATCACTTCATATTAAATACTATAGTGTTGGAACCAGTTATTTTATTGTAATGATATTTGGCTTATAGTAGAATTTTGGACATTGAGGAACTTATTTATTTATGACAAAAAAATTAAAATTTCATATCATATTTTTCTAACATGATAACATGTGAGACAGTCACTGACATGCATTGCAGGTTCATCAGTATATGTTATACAGTAGTAATTTGTTTGATGTCTTCCACCTGTGTTTTTCTATTTGAGCAGACAATGCAGTCTCGTTTTCTTCCTTCCACATTGATAATATGTCCAGTCTTTTGTTCGAAGATGTGGAAGGACACACTCGTGATTCCTGAAAACCACTTCTCAACCAATTGATCATATCTCAGTATATATTCCATCTCTTTATTTGCTTTTTCATGCAATTTGAATGGAAAACTTCAAGGAAACATACATTTTTGAAAATTTTGTTCTAGCATAAGTTCTGTATAATCACCAGCAATCTCTCTATGTTCCCTCAGAGGGGATATCCGAGTTCAAAGGGTTAAAATGAACAGTCTCTGAGATGCATTCCAAATCAAGCTAATTTCTTGCACTTTTTAAAATATGTGGCTCAGCCTGTAATCCCGCGCCTTTGGGAGGCTGAGGTGAGTGGATTGCCTGAGCCTACGGGTTCGAGACCCGCCTGGGCAGCGAGACCTCATCTCTACAATAAATCAAAAAATCAGCCGGGCGTGGTAGCACATGCCTGTAATTCCGGCTACTTGGAAGGCTGAGGCGGAAGGATCGCTGGAGCCCAGCAGGTTGAGGCTGCGGTGGCCGGGAGTGGCCACTGTACTCCAGTCTGGGCGACAGTGAGACCCCAACTCAAAAAATAAAAAAATAAAAATAAAATAAAATATGTAATTTGGTAACTTCCTAAAGTGTCTGGAATTAAAGAATGATTTTAACAAAAATTGAGCATCCAGTTACATACCATAAACTGTTTTGAAATAGGCCTAGTTTCTAGGCCAAGGATTCTGAGACATTATAGACTAACCAGTAACTTTTTTTATTCTGACAGTTTGGTATGTACAGGTCCTATCTGAACTTTCAAATAGTTTTTTAAGACACTGTTTGTACAATCTAAAAACTTATTTTTATTGTGATAAAAAGTATATAACATAAAATGTATCCTTTAACCATTTTTAAGTGTACAATTTAATGGCATAAAGGACATTCACAGTATTATACAGTCATCACCACTATACAAGGGGGGACCCAAAAAACTGGAATTTATTTATAAAAAACTGAGTATTTATTCTTACATGTTTAAACTTCAGTTACTTTCAAAGTAATCTCAGTTTGATGCAATATGCCTATCAAGATGCTTTTGCCATTGCTCAAAACAGTTTCTGAACTTTTCGATTTTGATACCTTTTTTTGTCTCACCTTTTCCACATCGACAAAAATTTCCCTTTGAGGACTTTTTTCATCTGGGGAAACAAAAAAAGTGACTCAGGGCGAGATTCAGTGAATAAGGAAGGCGGGGCACTGGTGTTATGCTGGTTTTGGTAAAAAACTGCTGAACACTCAGCATGATGTGGGCAAGTGCGTTGTCATGATGGAAGAACCAGTCACCTGTTTGCCACAACTCAGGACATTTCTGCAAATTATGAAGCAACTTTTTCAAGACTTCTAGATTAAAAACTTTGGTTCACCATTTGATCTGGAAGAACATTCTGGGTGTACTGCAAAGAGGCCTGCCCTCCAAAAGATAATTCCAGGGTTTTTTTGGGTCCCCCTCATACCTTTAAGCAAAAGCATAGAAGACAAATGTTAATACAATTCAGCAAAAAATAATTTCATTTGTTTTTAAGGCTAAATAATATTCTGTTATTATATATACATTATAAACATGTATATTTGTCCATTCAACTGTCAGTGGGATAGCTACTATTTTTGACAGCTGATGTGAGTTTTCAAGTAGCATAAATTATTAATTTATGCTGTGATCAAAAGTATAAATATTATTAAATAAATGTTGATTCCATAAGTGAGCTCATAAATGACCAGTGATGTGTAGTCTACATTAATGAAAGCTTCTCTTACCTTCAATTAATGTAGCGTTTGAGGTAACTTAAGTGTTAAGTTTTAAAGTAATTATCTCAATACCAATTACTTTCTTCTTTTTCTGTTACAGATCCAGACTTTACTTACCTAGGAGGTATTTTAAATCCCATTCCAGGTTTAGTATATTGCCACCTTTTCCTCATGACGTTTTTGATCAGTCTTATTTTTCTTTGAACATCATTCATTTATTCTTTCTAGATTGCCAGTTTGAGCTCTCAGGAGCTGATGGAATAGTACGTTCTAGTCAGGTAGAACAAGAAGAGAAAACGAAACCTGGCCAAGCAGTTGATTGCATATGGACAATTAAAGCCACTCCAAAAGCTAAGGTACTATCACATATTGGTTCACTTCAGAGCACAACCTAATAAGGCATGGTTTTTAGAGTGTATTGTTTTGGTTTGTGTAAATATTAACTATAGAAACTGATATTGAAACTTTAAAAAATTTATTTCAGTCACTTTATTAGGTACCTACTAAGATCCCAGCATTGTTATAGTTTTAAAAAACTGAAGTATACATTTCAGAAATATATATTTAGTAAGACTATTAATTTTAAAAGATTAAGATTTTTGAAATATATTAATTCCTAATTGGCGAGTGCAGGTATTGATTATAGATTCATAAAACTTTTTTTACAAGGAGGAAAAATAGGCTGCAAGAGACTGAAGTGTGTTCTCAAAGGTTAACAGAGTTGCTCATAGTCTAAAATCCAAAACGCAAGTATGTTGAACCTTAGTTCTGTGTTCTTACCATGCTATCTCCTGCTAATCACATAGAGCTTTTATTGAAAAGTACTGTAGGGCACAGTGTTTGTTTTGTTTTGTTTTTTTGTTTTGTTTTTTTTTTTGAGTCAGAGTCTCACTCTGTCGCCCAGACTGGAGTGCATTGGCCGCTCCCGGCCACCGCAGCC